AAAATATTTTTGATACCCACATTTATTTTGTTATTAAACAATTATTAAGGTCTGCAGCAATATTAATACGCGTCGATAGATAACTACATTTTATCTTGAATCTATATCATCAGTGCTCAATACTCATTATTGTCACACTGTATAGGTTATTCGTATATTCGTAGTTTTTCTGTCTTTCGTCTTGTCTTACTTATTCTCACAATGTCTTCAAATATTTGTTTAATTTTAAATGAAATAATGAAAGTTATAAAAAAAAGTTGTTAAAAGAAAAAAATGAACAAAACCTTTACACGAATTTTGGAATTTTTAATTGTATTTTAATCTGCTAACTTTATTTTATTATATTATTATTTGATTAATACCCATTAAATATTATGTTCTTCAAATTTTGGAATTGAAATTTATTATTATTTTGAAATATCTAATTAATACATAATTAAGTAATTATTTAACAAGAATTAGAATTTATTATAGCCTATGATATTTATTAATTGTCAACATTTTAATTATTATTATTGGCGGAAAATTTTACAACCTTAAATCTTAATCATGCAGAATATTTTAACTCTATACCTAGCACGGAATTTCTCTTTTTATTCAGTTACATGGAAACCCGCTCAAAACGGAAATTTTTATTGGTCCCATGCAATTTCGTACAGGACGGATTTTAATGTAATAAATTCAAAATAATAATTGATAACATGTACAAGACAGCAATCATTATGTCGTTCATAAATTATGACTTATATCTATTATAAATTATAACCGTCTAAACTTTTAACTTTTCTACTGTCTTGCAAATTAGCAATACATTAATCACTTTATGTATAGTATATTAGTATGTATAATTATAGTTTGTTTGTTATTTATCAAAAACTATGATTAGCTACATAAATCTATGATTTATTTATTTAAACTTATAAATAGGATATATCTAGTTGGTTATTGTAGGTATAGGTACAGCAATAGTGTATTATAATGCAATATAATAGTATGCACAAGCTAGGTTACTAGGTACCTATTGACGTACTTGATATTAGTAATAACTAATAAATAACTAATAATGTAGAAATATAGTATTAAGTAAAAAAAGTAATAATTATACATCATATTTTTATACACATGCATGGTTGTTAATTTAGTTTATAGGTAAATCAAAAGTATTACAAACAATTTTACAATTTTAAAATATTAATGACTCATTACTACCTATTATTAGTAATTTACGTTCTTACCTCCCTACATATGAATTAATAATTCATTTACAATTTTTTTATTTTTACTAATATCAATAATATTATCTATTAATATAATTAGGTAACAGAAAAATTAACTATACGAAACGTCTTAGGAATGCTAATCTAGGTGACAAAGGTTTGGAAATGGTCAACAATTCAACACCAAAGAAGAATGGGAAACTGTCCTATAGTTGGAATTTGCTGATATGGTCATGATGGTGAAGGAAGAAGTGTAAAAAAGGTTGAGTAAAGTAATATGTAGTGTAAGTTTTTGTTGTATTTTGGAATAAAAGTTAAAAAGCTAGTCATTTTTTATTGTATAATATTTTGTTCAGAATAAATTTGAAATAAATTGTACTTAGAACCCTTAAGCAATTAATTAATTAATTTAATAAACTACAATTTACCAGTAATGTTCTTGCAATTAACTTTGGGGGTTGTTCATACAATAAACATTAAAAAAGATCATGCCAAGGTCATGTTAGTTTAGGACAGTGATGTCCCAACAACTTTTTATGGGGAACTTATAGGCCACCAGAGGTCAACATAAAATCCTTCCCGCTGCAATTTATATATTAAATGCTTATATATTATTTATACTTCAAAAGTGGTCAGTTAAAAAAGCTTAATTATATGAATAAAAAATTAAACAAAACCGTTTGTGATGAATGGATTACATATTTTTAGCTCATTCTAAAGAGGACTACAATATTTAAATAAGTTGACCTAGCGGCTAGCGCTGTAATAATACCTATATCATGATAAATGACAATATTCGTATTTTGCTATTTTAGAGCATTTCTATTCAAGAACAATAGACAATACCTTTACAGCTTTACTTCCATTTCAAATAATAGCTACTTCATGCCCCATTGTAATAAATGGTAAAAAATTTCAGGCAAATTTAAAAAAAAAAGTATTATTCACCATTAGCATAACTGTTATTAGGTACTTATATAATTTTCCAGTTAAAATTTTAATTCGTAGTACCTATAAACTAAAAAAAAAAGTAATTAAAATAAACGTTAGTATCATATTTTATTATCAATTATTCATATTTTAGAATGTTTTAGTCTCACTAATTACTATAATGTCTGTATGGCTATATACTTTAAATTAATTAGCTAGAGACAGCTTTACTCAACATTTTTTTAAAATTTGGGTTATTGCCAGTTGCTACATAGATGTACCTACCTATATAGGTATCATGAATATATTATTTTAAATTTATATTCTGGAAATTGTTTACAAACATACCTATGTCATAAGAGTAAAAATAAATGTATCCGTGACTACTGTTTATTATTTACTCCAAGAAAAAATTGAATGTACTTTACAAAAAAAGTATTTTGCATGAAAAATTTGGTAAGAGTAATTTTGAGTAAACGACTATTCCCAGGTTTAGGCGTGAATCCAGGAATATTTTTTTGGACGGGCCGTAAATTTAACCACACAAGATAATATAATAAAATTATGATTTAATTAAGAATAATTTTTATTTAGTCATAAATATATCAATAAATAGTCCAGTACTAATGATAGTAAAAAAAAAAAAAAAATAAAATAAAAAATATTGAAATACAGTTACGTGGAAAAATGTAATCTCCTTAACTTATCACGTACAAATTTATTTAAAACTTCGTCTAGATTTTGTATTAACTCTTCATTGCTTTGCTATTAAAATAAAATATAGGTATTTAATTAGGTATGCCTTAATAAATAGCTAAAAAAATAAAATAAAGCCAACCTATTTGGTTAATATACTAATAAAAATTCAAAAATAACAACTTGAATGGCAATATTCAAAATTAAAATTAGGTATTGTTTTTAAGAATTTTGGGTGAGCCCGGGCCTACCCTCTGGAATCGAGCCTGCCCAGGCTACTCGTAAAATAATTTAATTTAATTTAAAAATAAAATGTTTTTAACACGTACCAAAAACATAAAACTTTGGTTTATAAATTTTGAATAAAAATGTTTGAATATTTTCTACGGACTAAAATCGTATACGATTATGTTATGCTTATCATTATCATAATGGTAAATGCATAGTTATTATTAATAGGTATTGATATGTTATGTACAAATAATTTTTCTTTTTACGGACCTTTTATATAAATGTAAACATTTTATATGCATAGGTATTAGTTATTACTGAAACTCAACCTTAACAGTAATCAGGAATTATGATATTTTTTAATTATTTAACCTAACCGGCAATAGCACGGATTTAATATGAATTAACTAAAATTATTAACATTTCTTAAAAAAATGTAGGTAATTAAATAAAAATAATTCAAATGGGTTTAAAACTTGATATTTTGCAGAGACTGTTGATTGTTCTTTATTAAGTACTTTGAAGTTTGAACACACTGCACAGTTCAAAGATTATAAATACATTTTTATTATCAGTTTTAAATGAATTATAGGTAGATAGGTACTAAGAAAAAACTATTGCATATTTTTATACCAGCTACTTACATGTTATGTAAGTAGGGTACCTATCACACTTATATTATCATAATTGTTAATGCATTACACAACAAGATTTTACTTGTAGGCATCAGTTATATTCATAAACATTAAAATAATGAAATACAAATAAGTAAAAAAAAAAAATGATATAGGTAACATTTTAGCATTAATGCATCATACTATAATTAAAAAAAGAATGCATTTTATTTTTATATTTATAACCTTTTAAGAAATATAATTTCACTACCAGATTTTTCATCAAAAAATATTTTTATAGATTTCAGTTTTTGTTCAAGACGCTTTAAACACCATTCATTTATCAAACTTCATTAAAAAACATTAGAATACTTTTTTTTTTTGATTTTAAATATAGGTACTAAATGTCTTAATATAGTAATGAAAAACTAATATTAATTTAAAATTAACTAATATACTTTATAATATATTGATTAAAGTTAAAGATCTCTTGAAGATAGCTTGAATATTTCTAACATGATCGTCCAAAAAATTAAAAGAAAAACAAATCCAAAAAATGTATTAGCAACTGATTTTGTTTTGTGTTTAATAACTTACCATTTATGAAATGACTAATTATTAAAAAATATATATCAAATATCATAATTATTGTAGGTGCTTAATAGTAAGTTGATTCTGTACAATTGTTCTCTTTAAATACAATTGCAAAATTTCTTTTTCTAAACTATAAACCATTATCACATTAGCTAAATTGTATTTACTTTAGATAATAGATATCATTTTGACATCAAACAAGTCATTTATTAAGAACTAAACATTTTATAATATTAAACTGGTTATTTTTTATATTTAAATAATTACCTATAAATTGAACTATCTAAATAAAAATCATAAATCATACATTTTGATAATTAATTGTTTACATAAGTATTTGAAATTTAATAGTTTATTCTATTGTAGCTAACTAAAATATGAAAATTTATTTTTTAGAAAAAAATTATATTTATATTTAAATATGTAAATACCTTTTTACCGAGTTTCTTACAACTTAATATGTTATAAGTTATAACTTATAACACTAATCTGTCCCTTTTGTAAGCTACATAATGTTCAGTTTATTGATGGTAAAAGGATTATACTTATATATTGAGCTTATCAACTGCAAATTTAGTACATCAGTTATTTTGAAAATAAAACAAATACTTAAAAAAATATTTAAAATGATATATACAAGTCTATATTTCAATAAATCAAACAGTAAAAAGTGCCAAAATCCACTTATTACTAGCTACACAAACAAAATGTGGCAAGATATTTGAGTTGTACATTTATTTTTTACATAAACTTAATTTTGGTTAACTTAAGTAATTGATTTCATAAGAAAAAAAAAATATGAAAAAAATAATTAAAATAAATAAATATTCCTAAACACTTGAGTATGGTACATGAGCTGCTTTCAACGTCTTCTCCTTAACCGTTATCACACTGCACGGAATCACAGTTGCTGCTGAAGAATATACAATTGCCATACCCACTATAACATATCAGGAACACTGCTACTAGGAACACTATGCTGCATATGGTACATGGCTTCCGTTCCAAAAAGAATCCTGTCAAGTATAAAACCATGAACATGACATGAGTCTGCAATAGCGCAGGATTCAGTGGTTTTGGTATGAGCAACACGGGTATCAACCATTGAAGACAGTACATGCTGGATTTGTGCGTATATTGAAGCTACGACAGTACGAAACTGAAGTATAAGACTAAGATTAATTGAAACAAAGAAATTAAATATTTGTTTAAGAAGATGTTTATTGTTTAATGAAAATAATAATTTTTAATTTTTTATAATAATAATTGATAACGTGATCGAGATAATATTCATGATTAGGCCATTGATTTTTCAGTGTCTCCTAAATGGCTAAATATGAGTTTAATTTTTTGTTTCATATTTAATCCACAAGAGAGAAGCACGCAATATTTTCAAAAGATAATAATATCATTAAACGTATGAAGAAAATACACATTTGTATTTATCATACTATAAGACTTTAGAAGTTATTCGATAACATAAATCACAACTTAAATTCATAAATGAAAAAATATTAAGTACAAATATACCGATAAGATTTATTGTGACAGTATCAATAAATTTAAGTATTTAATAATATTGTTACGTAGGTTAGGACATTGTTATGTAATCCTATCTTCAAAATGAGATTGAATAGCTCGAATTACTAATGAATATAGTTAGGGGGAGGCTTAGGTTAGGTTAGGTTAGATTTTGTTTTGATTGTAAATAAATAATTTATTTTTAAAGTAGGTACTTATATTAATTAAACCCTCATATTCTGAAAGAAAAAAGATTGTATTGATTTTATAAGCTTTTTATTTAAATTATTATATAGGTAAGATCTAGTTTCAGCAGGTTCCATATTTTAGAATTTTACATTTATTTAATAAATCAATATAATACACATGATTGATTATTGTTCTATATTTTTTCACTCATAAGACAATTATCAGCTATGTTAAGGAGATATTAATAGTTATTGTAATTTAAAAATTAGTCAAATGAATGTGAAAAATTTTTAAGCATGAAAAATTTATAAAAAATTAAAACTTTTTTATTTATTCATGAAAAATGTACTGTCAATGCAGTACAATAAGTAAAAAATAAAAATCTTAATATACCTATACCGGCTATACTTTGTCTAAACAATAAATTAACAATTATTTATACCTTTTACATAAAGATGAAGGAGATTTCAAGTCATGTAATAAAAAAAAAAATATTTATATAAGGCTTATATATAACACTTAACCATGCTTTCAACACTTTACAGCTAGTTACCACAATATTTTATTATAAATATTATATAAAAATATGGTATCTTTTAGAAGTCTTTAGTTCTAGTTAAACCCTGATAAGGAAGACCCTAGGGCACGGTTCTAAGTTCAATTATTTTAAGAGCTCATCTTTTTCCTCAAAATATTTTTTTATGCACACGTTCAAAATAAATTTCGAAAAATAAACTAAACATTTTTCTTAATGTTATGAAAAATTTCTAAATGATGAATTTACAGTAAATTTATGTTTGATAAATTATATTATCTATATTATGAATTGTTATATTTAAATTTCTTAATTCTTGGTTGTCGAATTAAAATAAAATATGTTTTATGTGCATTTTATCGTATGATTAAGTTAAAAATTATCCTGTAAATAAATTAACGAACACTAACCTAGTTAATGATTTTGATAGGTAAGTAGGTACATTGATTTATTCTATAACAATAATAATGTTTCTTTTAATGTACTTTTATCTCAACATAATATTTAATTATTAATTAATGTTAGGTGTTTTTAACCTTTTCGCATGAGCTAACAATATTTTTCATCAGTAGCTAATGCTGGAAATATAATTTATTTCTACGGTGGTTGTGACGTGTTTGTATATGATCTCTGTTAAAAAAAATTATAATTGTGTATTATATACAATGGTATACTATAATACTAAATAGTTGTTTTGCTAATATATTTTTTTTTTCTAATAGTAAAAATTATAAAATTGTATACAATCGTAAAAAATGATAGGTTAAAATTTGTTTGGAGTAAGAATAAGTATGAGTTTAAGCATAGAATATCGAAAGAGAGGCCCAGTAGGTATCTGGTACTTTAAAACCCGATTGTCTTTAATTCTGACTTAGTCATCGTTCATCACCATAGGCGTAGGGTGGTCAAATTTTTTTTTTTGACGGTGGGGAGGCCGGAGGGGAAGGCTGTAGCCCTCTAAGGTAGACATGCACTAATTTGTGGAGAGTTCCGTCTGCATTTTGGGGGACTATTTCCCAAAATATTGTGGTAACTAGCTGTAAAGTGTTGAAAGTATGGTTAAGTGTTATATATAAGCCTTATATAAATATTTTTTTTTTATTACATGACTTGAAATCTCCTTCATCTTTATGTAAAAGGTATAAATAATTGTTAATTTATTGTTTAGACAAAGTATAGCCGGTATAGGTATATTAAGATTTTTATTTTTTACTTATTGTACTGCATTGACAGTACATTTTTTCATGAATAAATAAAAAAGTTTTAATTTTTTATAAATTTTTCATGCTTAAAAATTTTTCACATTCATTTGACTAATTTTTAAATTACAATAACTATTAATATCTCCTTAACATAGCTGATAATTGTCTTATGAGTGAAAAAATATAGAACAATAATCAATCATGTGTATTATATTGATTTATTAAATAAATGTAAAATTCTAAAATATGGAACCTGCTGAAACTAAATCTTACCTATATAATAATTTAAATAAAAGGCTTATAAAATCAATACAATCTTTTTTCTTTCAGAATATGAGGGTTTAATTAATATAAGTACCTACTTTAAAAATAAATTATTTATTTACAATCAAAACAAAATCTAATGCATTATACAAGTATTTAGTAATTTTATTTTTTTTAAGTATATTTAGAAGTTTTTTAGGGTATAAAATCCCAAGACTACCATTGATTATAGAATAGACTATGATTCTATAATATCAATGGTACTACTCGTTTATTAATTTCTAATTTTAGTAAAATATATTATCAGTTAAGGACGAACTTTAATGTACTTAAAAACTATATTATAATCTTACTTCTTATTTATTTTGTTTAATTAAAATATTTACGCAATTTTAGTCCATTAAAGTTGTTGGAGGCCGCCATATTATGTGGTTATAGACTAATAATTGGAAGATTTGATTATTAAGTTGTATTTTTCGATGCCTGATTACCATTTTGAATTCATATATGAATTTATTAATTTCTTTTCTGGGTTATGAAGGAAACATTTATTTTTATATTTTTAATTCAAAATGTTTGAAACCAATAAATAAAAAATATAATTATTTTTTCAATTTTATACACACACACACACACACACACACTAATAGTAAGTACTTGATAAAATATTTCGTTCTAAACAGTTTAGATTAGTAAATTAGTAGGTTTAAGGAGAAATTTTAAGAAGCATTCGAAATAATATAGAATTTTAAGTCATTTTCTGCTCTGACGGCCTTAATTTATCACTTTTACTACACAACTATATAGTTACTTTAATACTATATTATTCATAAATTGTCACATTATTGGAATTTTCTTATCACTCATTATAATTAATAATATTTACTTATTTTGGGATATCATAATGTCGTTTTTGAATGATAATATACTACATTCATATTTGCAGAATTAAATTGTAAATCAGTGAGTAATATTTTCAATAATAATGTTTAAATTTACCATAGATTTGAAATATTTGTTGTAGATTTATGTTTGTATAAACAGTTATGCCAATTCCGCAGGAAGTAAGAAAAAAACATTTTGTTAAATAAAAATAAAACTTGTATTACTATATTAAGTAATACATACATTTAGTCGTAGTAAGCAGTAATATATTTGACGTTTTTGTTGTATAATATATAGATATACTCTTAAGTCTTTATAATATAATATGTACCTATTTATGTCTAAGTGATATAACTGTGGCATGTAATTATTTATTTTTATTTTTATTTAGGAAATTGGGTGATTTACAAAATTGAATTGAATTATTCATTTGTTTGTGTATTAAAAATATTTAATAACTATAAATATATTGTTTAGATTTAATTTTTGTTTATATTTGTAAGAAAAATGTAGTCTATTGTAAAAATGTGTGTGTTATTATTTTTTTTTTAATGTTACATCATATTTTGAAGTATTAAGTCACTAATAAATCGCTACACCTAATTATTAATGTATTTAATTACCTATTAGTCTAATCGCTTTATTACTTATATTCCTAGTCACGTTATAATATTTTCTTTATTTATTCTTGCGCCCTTACATGACGCAACTAAAGGAAGTACCTACACATAATATTATTATGTGTATTCACCTAACCTTTTATATGAATGTATTTTTATAAGCTTATAATTTTGGATGACATAATTTTATTTATAAATTTAACTATAGGCTATAATATAGATGTAAATTATGTTTAATGTACCTACATCATACACAGCTTATATACTTATATACTTAATGATTGCGCCTTTCTATAAATAGTTTTTGTTTAATGTTTAAATGTTTAAGGAAAATATATTTTGAGTGTTAATAATGTTAAGAAGGAAAATTTAGCAACATTTAGTATAACTTTCTACTGATGAGTATTTTTTTAAAATCATTCTGCAGCACAGTATTATTATATTTTTAAATATAATATATGATACTTCCTAAATTATTACAAATGAGGTATCTTAAATTATCATGGCGTCTATGCGTATATAGACACAAGTATTAAAATAATATTGTTCTATAGGGATAAACAATTTTATTTTTTATCTTAAGATTAAATATCATAATAATATAATTAAATGTTTTATTATTATGATTAGGTAGGTATAGGTACATGTACCTAGTTTTGTAGATTTATTACTTTAAAAGTGTAATATACTTGAACTAAAATTAATACAAGATAATAATAAGTATTAAGAATTACAACTGTCGTTAAGATGTACAAAATAAAAATGTTTTCATGTTAAAAATAATTTGTTTCATCATAACTTAACCCATGAGGTGTTTAAAAATGAAATATTGGTTAAAATATTTTAGGTTCTGAATAAAATTATGACTAATATAAATAATTTTAGTGAAATGGATTTAAATTAACTAAGTTCACATAAGAATAACTATCCTAATATTATGTTCGACAATGATTTTAGAACCTTAACCAGTAATAAATAATGTCATCTATAGTAACAAACTATATAAACTAGATAGGTATAGCTACTGTAGTGTCATATGTATACCTATAATCAGACATACTTTTCAAAATAAATTATAATTTATAGGACATAGGTATATAATATTATAAAATAAACAAAATCGAACTCTCAAAATAATATCTAATATAAATAAACTTCGAAAAATTAAGAACTTTGATGATTTAAAAAAATAAATAATTTCCTGCTATAAATGCTACTAGTATTTTTTTTCATAGAGTATTTATCTAATAAAATGCATTGATCATTGTTATGAGGTTTTAGTTCTCTAAGTAGAATGTTACACATACTAACGCTATTGTTAGGTATATTATCGGTTTTGACATCGTAAAGTATCAAAAATCGTATTGTAAACTAAAGAATTCTAACTTAATATATTCTTTGTGTATCAATTCATTATCATATCATTTATTGTATAGAAAACTTATAAATATTATGTCATCATCATTAGGATCCAAGATTTAGCCTACACCACACAGCAGACATTTTGTGTACTACATGTCCACCACGTCGGCAAAGCATGTTTTATGTTTTCCGAACGTTAGACGTCGACGCGGTGCATTCGTTGTTCTAAGCCTGGACCAGGTAAAATTACCTGTGATTGTTATGGTAATGCCTTTACGCTGCTGCAGCACCATACTTCATAATGTCGTATACTTTCAGAAAATTTAGTTCCCCAACATAATTAATGCACTAAATCACACCACATTGTAGGTATAATATATATATGTCTACTTAAAAAAATAATATTACCTATTAAATTAAATAAAGTGAATATAATATAATTGAGTGGCCGTTATAAGTAAGGTTAGTTGCGATCTAAATCCAGGAGCGATTCTTGCAGGTAAGTTCCGAGAGAGAAGAGAGCGAAAATATTCAACGTTTCTATACACACATATTTAACATTTTTCCGTTTATATAGGTACACGAGAAGTAATTTTACTTTCTATAGACTTAATACATATTTATAAAATAATTTTTGTTTATAATAAATTTTAAATATAATAATATAAAAAATATAACCTAACAATTATATTCCATAGTGAGTGAGAGGTATAAGAAGTATCTGATGATAATATATTATTGACTATTGTGTGAGAATTCAATTTATGATATGCAAGATAGACGTAATAAATAATATAAATTAAATTATCTAGCTAGTTGATAGTTATATATAAGTAATAGGTATAAAATAAATATTTAATAAGAAATATTATGCGAACAAAGAAGAAAATAATTAAAATTATATATTCATATACTAATCAAAAATCAAAAATCTAGGATTAAATCAGTAAAAGCTAAGCTGATATTTTAATTCATATTTATGTACCTATACAATCTATAAATTATTATAACTGTCAAAAGTTGGTAACAGTTTTATGTCATTGTTATTGTTTGAGAACAAATAAGAAACTTCTGCTCAAATTATACTTCTGAAAACTAATTTAAATTACTTTAAAGACAAACGAATTCATTATGTAAAATCGATTTGTATTTTAAACCTTAACATACATTTTAACAATGTATAACTTTGAAATTTTCATTAAACAAAATATTTGTACGTTCAACACAAATAACGAGTAATCGTTTGTAAAATACTAAAATAAAAACATCATTACAATTATTCTTAATAAAAGTAATAATACAATTCTAATAAAGTAACAATAATTTTAAAAACAGTTAAATAGGTATCTATTTAGACTAATATTAAATCCTTTAATTCATTAAACTCACATAATTTAAGATGAGTTAAGTGCTAAAATGTTGTACAGGCGTACAGTCGTCAATCGTCATAATATAATATATATTTTTCAGTATTTCCATTATTCAGATTCTATCTGTCTTAAATATTACACCGATGATACGTATTATGTTAAAACACGACAAAATATCAACAGAGAGACAAAAATATTGAATACAATACCATAGCTCAAAGAAATTATTGAAAATTTTTTTTTTTCAAACTGCAGTATTCATTAAAATAAATATGAAAAATCAAATTAATTATCTATTAGGGATTGTACAAATTAATAATTTTTTCTCGATGTTCGTGGTATTTGACATCTCTTTACTGCATCTAAAATCTTGTCAGACGTAGCTATTTTTAATACAAATTAACTTGAGATTTATTATTGTTTGTCAATGGTTATATTCGTACACATTGATAAGTCCCTACTACACTAAACATTGAAATAATTTTTTTTACACGCAAGCTTAACGATTTCATAAAAACTATCATGTCAACAACCTCGTTGAATCGGTTTTTTTTAAATTTGTATCAAATTTTTGTTTTCGGTTAATTTTCCAATGAAAAACCAAGTCGAGGTCTGCCCGTTATTGACTCGCACGACTTGATGGGTTTTGCAGTTAGGTCGACTCTTATAACTGCGTATGTAGGTACTACCCATCGCGTCTATAAGCACATTACATAAACATACACAAGACGATGATGTTGTACACGTTTCCAAGGAAATGCGCCGAAGAAAAAGAAAAATACGAACAAGACGAAGACGAAGACGAAGACAAAGACGAAGAAGAAGAAGAAGAAGAAGAAGACGAAGAAGAAGACGAAGACGAAGAAGAAGCGGCGTGAACACAGTGTCGCAGAGACAGAATCAGAAGCGAAATAAGGTGCCTATAACTGCATAGCAGATTTTGCCCGATTGCCAATATTTCACCTCTCCCGCCGGCCGCGCAACCGGCCGGCAGCAGCCCCACTACCCCACTACAGCGGACCGTTTTCCACCCGATTGGAGCGCACGAGTCCCGCTCCGCCCCGGCCGCGCGCGCCAGACGCGCGGCACCGTGTCTGCCGCCCGAGATCGCGGCAGTCAGTCAGTCTCCGGTCCCGTGTATCACCGTCGTGATCCGCGCGCGCAACGTGAACACAGCAGGACGACAGTTCGCTGTACACCCGCAGAGTGCATGTGCGTGCGTACAACGAGTGTTTCGAGCGTGTGCATCGCGATTTATACCGCCGCCGCTCATCGTGGTAATAACATTACGTATATACCTAACACGCGTACGCGTACGTCCAACTACTCTATACATCATTAAAAATACGTATACACCAACTACTTATAACCATACCGCGGCCACCCCGTGCGCGTGGGGAATGTACGGCTGGCGCTCGGCCAACTGCGCGTAAAAATACGTAAAATACAATTGATACAATATAATAATAATACGGGACAGCGCAGTATATAAGAACAATACATCGGACATAATATTATTGTTATCGGTTAAATGGCCTGCGCTTTTCGTACGTCTTCTCGCTGAACTATATTCGCGTAACCTTCGTCACACACTCGCGCGCGCTATAATATTATATATACCACCTACGTACCTACGTCGAACGGTGCGAACGAGAGGGACGAATAGAAATCGCATCGCCATGGTGTGCCGCCGCAGAAACGTCGACGAAGCCGTCGCGGCGTGCGCCCTCGTCGTCGTCGTCGTCGCGTCTTTGGCGATCGTCTCGCGGGCGCCCGTCGCCGCCTCCATCGCCGCAGATCAGTCGGACCCGGCCGACCCGTGCTACGACGGCGAACGGGCCCGCCGGTGCGTGCCCGACTTCGTCAACGCCGCGTACGGTGGTCACGTGGAGGCGACCAGCACGTGCGGCGTGAACGGCCCCGAACGGTACTGCGAGCTGGGCCCCACGTCCCAGGGCGTATGCCACACGTGCGACGACTCGCAGCCCAAGCGCCGTCACCCGGCCTCCCATCTGACCGACCCGAACAACCCGTACAACGCCACGTGCTGGCGGTCCGAGATGCTGTCCGCGCAACCGGTGGACCCGGCGTCCGCGCTGCCGCCGCCCGACAACGTGACGCTCACGCTGTCGCTGGGCAAGAAGTATGAGCTCACATACATCAACCTGCAGTTCTGCCCAAAGGCCGCCAAACCGGACTCGATAGCCGTGTACAAGAGCATGGACTACGGCAAGACGTGGCAACCGTTTCAGTTCTACTCGGGACAGTGCCGCAAGGTGTACGGCCGTCCCAACCGGGTCGTCATCACCAAGGCCAACGAGCAGGAAGCCCTCTGCACGGACTCGCACCGGTTCAACGGGGCCGGGTCGTCGGCGTCCCGGGTAGCGTTCAGCACGCTCGAGGGTCGGCCCAGCGCCATAGACTTCGACAACAGCCCCGTGCTTCAAGACTGGGTGACGGCCACAGACGTGAAGATAATATTCAACCGGTTGCACTTCCCGTCCGCGCCTCCGGACTCGGCCGCCGGCAGCACCACCACCAGCACTACCACCAGCACGGCCGCCGCCGCCAGCCTCGCCGCCGCCGAGATGGACTCGAAATTGGATTCGGACGAACCGCTCAAAGGCAACAAGACGGGCTCCGATTTACTGATGTTGAACCCGGACCAGGAGTTGCAGGGACACGAACCCGAGAAGACCACAGTTGTGCCGGTTACGACCGCGGCGTCGTCCGCCGGCCGCACGTACCATTATGCGGTGTCTGACTTGTCCGTGGGCGGCCGGTGCAAGTGCAACGGACACGCGTCCAAGTGCATACCGTCGGGTCCTGGGGGTACGCTGGTATGCGACTGTAAACACAACACTGCTGGACGAGACTGCGAACGGTGCAAGCCATTCCATTTCGACAGGCCCTGGGCCAGAGCTACTGTTCGCGATCCCAACGAATGTAAACGTAAGTGCCTTAGACCATTCGATCAATATTCGATATCTTAAATTTCGGTATACTTTTTAAGTGATATACATTTTGTGCCTACAATACGCCTAAGTCCGAAGTTGAATACAGATAAGATTACGTGTCTTTATTTTTTCAACTCCTTCCTATTTATCTCTGTAAATGTTAATTTTTCACAGTAAAAGATTGATGTTACACGTTATATACTTAAAAAACCTCATAGCCCGTATAAAAATGTGTCACTCTGATCAATTGTCTTTTGAACTCTTTTTCCATCTGCACAAAGTACATAATATTTTGTTTTCGTATGTTATAGAACGATTTTTTTTTTAGTATCCTAAGCCCTCGACGTTATAAATATATTGTATTCTAATTTTTGGAATTTTAAAGTAAATCCGATTTCGAAATACATTTATTTTCAAATATCCTTTTAAACATCTACATGCCACTATTTTATCAAGGTTTTACCAACCCCCGCAACACATTATACAATGATGTGAAACTAAGATAAATTCTAAATAAAGGTCGTAATGTCGTTCTAGAACCAAGAATCTGTGAATAATATCATGCATAGTTGACTAATTTCCATCCTGCATTAAAAGCTTACCTAACACTTAACTAGATTCATAATCTTTGGAAAGCCAGGCATGCATTTCGTGGTTCCGGAAAGGTCTTAAATATATGTACATAAGACTCGTTTCGCTTGAATTCCATTTTACATTTATGAATGACGAAAACGAATTGTACCCGTAGAAAACATTTTTATAGATCTATACTAAAAACGGCCACTATTTTTCTTTTAAGCTGACTAGTGGAAAATATCGTAGTTACTACTTGCGAGAAAAAAATATAAACCACATCAACGTTATAGTAATCTCGACCGTGGTCTATATTATACTTATATGGTATACTTAAGAACAGTAAACCACGATATTTTTAGTCAATATTTGGAAAACACGTTTCTCACTGGCGTTTTTCTTCGTGCATACGTCATGCAGTTCGATTTTTGGTCAAACCGTTCTTTCGTGTTGTCATTTGCGAGTACGTTTTAAGTAGTATAATAGGTACATATTACGAAATTCCAGTGAAACGAGTCTTATACGTTATGAGTACTGCAAGTCTTATAATATCCGGTCCTACAAAACGCTTCTCTCGTTTCCCCAGAGTTACAAGCTGAGAATGGCACGTCAAGGTAATAAGACAGAAAGATGTCTTACTGACTTATTACCATTAGATATATAATGTATCATTATGTCAGCTCGTGATATTATTCACTTAGTTCCTTGTATCCTTTTAGATGGATGATTATGTTGAACTCACATTTGGAAGTTGGGTTAACGCTTGATTGGCGTTACTTTGAATTAATTGTATTTATAATATGTATATATCTAAATACAAGATAAGCTTGATAGATCTGAATATTTTAAGTTAAACCTTAGTAATATAAATAAAGTTCCTACTTTTATAAATTCATACAACACATTTTTTTTTTAGATTATTATTATACATTAAAGTAGAATCTTTTCGTCTTTCAAGTATTCTTTGTGCCAATTTCAAATCATGATGAGGAAAATTTACCCAATATTTTTTTTTCAAACTAAAGTTTAGTAGTTACTTTATTATTATCGTATAAATTTAAAAAATATATTTTTTAAATACAAAAATATCAACAGATACTTGATTTAATATAGGATATTTGATTTAAAAATCAATTTATCCAAAATTTGACTTTTTATTATATTTTTTACTTTTACTCGCTTCCAGAAAGACACATTTATACCATTGTTGTTATAAGTCAAATGGGAAAAGTTTATTACCTATACATAATTTATATGCATACAAAGAATACACTTCTTAAATCCGTACAGCACACAATTTTGGGCTACTCTCTTTGTTAAGGGATTTACTTAAACATAGTAGCTGATAAACGAATATTGAACAGTTCATCGATTATTTTATTATATAATTAAAATTTAACGGGAATAAGTTTTAAAATAAACATACCTCTGTGGCTTAGTTATACGATAACTTCAGTACATGCAGTAAAATCTATATTTTTATATAAAACACCTCAATAATCATTAATTGTCCAATATTCTAAGTACTTAGGAATTTCTGTACATATTACCGTATTTTTTTGTTTACGTTAAGTTTATCAGTGAAGTTACATTATTATCAACCGTTTACGCCTACAACAGTAAATATACCTGCTACAATAATAATAATTTATTTTTATATAATAAGATATTATTATATTATATCAAAATCATTCGTAGTTGAGCGCAACGCAAAACATATATTACATATTTAGACCCGGTATCAATTAACCAATTATAGGTAATTAGGTACAATCAGGTGAACAGCATATTCGCGCAACACAGTACACATTTTTTTTGGCATTAAAGACATGGATTTTAGATAATGAAATTTTTTTTTAAAATACCTATGTTAGGTTGTAAAAAAAGAAAAGAAAATTCAACGAAAATAAATAGTTATTTACTATTTTTCAATAAATTAATAGTTATCAATACATTATTTAGATTATATAAAAATAATAAAATAAAAACAAATTCAATGTTTAGTATGAATGTAGTAACATTTTTTTTGTTTTTGATTAAAAAATAACCTAGGATTTTATGAAGAGTTAAATAATAATATTATTGTTTGACTGGTTTTATGTTAGATTAAATATATCATATAATATATTATAATATTACAAATAATAATTAAGTATTAAATTACATTACCTAAATTAAATTATATTACTGGACATTCGTATTCGATACACAATTATTATCGTTATAAATTATAAGTTTTATCTACACTAAGACTATGTTATGCTCAACATCTTAAACATTAGATTCATTTAATTTTATTGTAAATTTATTGTTTAATATTTATTTGTGAGTAGAAATACTGCAGTTGATATCATTTGAATAAGTATATTGAGATGTAAATAAGAAAGTAATAAAACAATTTTTCGTGGTCTGTGATTTTATACTACTCTGCAGACCTGCAGTATCCGTAACTAGTTAAACTTATCAGTTTGAATTAATTTAATTATAAGAATTCATGATTAAATTATGTTGAGTGTAGTAAGTTAAAAATTAGAATTGATAAAATCATGTTTGTATAATTATAACGTTTACGATGTATTTACATTTACTTGTCGTTTAAATTTTTAACGTAAAAAACTAATACTATATTAGCATGATGCTTAAAAAATAAAAATAATTTTATTTATTTTGTATTTTTATATTATTTTATTATTTTATTAATGTAGGTACACATAAAATATTATCAATTTTTGATCGTGCTTATAATATTTTGTTGTTAATATTGCAAGACACTATTACACCAATTGTTGTATTATATATTATTGTGATTATTGAACAATAATTATATAATAATGTATACAGTATACAGGTATAATCGATGCTTTTCAATGTTAAATATTCATAAGTAATAATTTGTATCATTATTTATAAACATTCTTTAACTCATGAATTATAAGATAATAAAACACATACTTAAAATGACACCTCTGTTCTGAAAAATTAATTTCATCTTGAAAAATAACCTGAAGGGTCGAACTGTATTTGTTAGAGAGATCAATAATAATTATGGTTATTAGATTCTTGACAGAGCCTTAGAAAGCGAAGATTACAAGTTAACAATGCACAATAGTAATTTTTTTTATTAATACTTAAAGGTTGTTATTTTTAAGCTGTTATGACTTGTATTTAGTTTTATAATAGTTTAACTTTTTAACGCGATTACAAAAATATACCATAAGTATTTATTGTATAATATATAAAATAATAAACATCGTATACTTATGACAATAATTATTATTAGATATATAGTTGTGCTAATCTGACAGTGATGTATATTAAATAACTATACTATCTAAGTATACATATTTATAAATATATATTTTATGACGCCATTGTCAGTATAAAAAAAAAAAGAGTGGAATGTTCGTCCTATACGCAAAAGGAAATATTAGTAGTTATAGACTTTACCTAGTTGTATTAAAACCACGACCGTAATAATATTACTGACCCCGATTTCGATAAGCTCTACTGCAGATCGTCAAATTGGCTAGTTCGGTCTATATATTATTTCGATTGTAATCGTTGAGTTTCATGCAATCGTAAACCGACTATCGTTGATATTTAACAATGGATGGATTGTTATTTCTCTCTCTTTTTGTCATTGACCCCCGCAAGCTATACAGCCGACGATTGTACCCCATGCTACAGGCGTACAGCATCACAAAAACGCAGACGGACATCAGATTAAAATCTGTTTTCGTGTTATTTTTTTCCCCATCTCCATCTCTCTCGCGTATACGCAAGCCGCAGCATACACTCACTATCCTCTTCCCATCTGGCCCAGGGTGTTTTGTGTATTATGTACTCCTCGTTTAGGAATCTCTTTATTTATGAATCGATTCCGGTCACGCTGGCCAGCGTGAACCGGTTGCATAGGTGAGAAATAACAGGGCCGTTTATTAACGATATGACGTCCGCACGTGCGTAGACTTTTCGATTTCTTCTCAATACAACAGCCATCTTCCAGGATATGTTTATTTCCATTTATCATATTATACGCAAAATAACTAGAAGTATGTGGTACTTTTTATTTATAAAAATGTTTTCTATTATTATAAGTGATAAAGTATATTTATTTTTTGGTTTAGTTTGTGCTTAAGTTTTTGAATATCAATGTAATCGAGGTATATTTAAAACGATAAAATCACTATTTATTGAAAACATCATTAATTTCAATGTTAAAAAGAAAATTTAAAAATTATGTGAATAATGAATAAAATGTAGTTTATATGATAGTCAAATTAATTACCTCGTAAATATTCCAGGATAAAATAAAATTGTTATTAGAATAATAGTAGTTTTGGCAGTCTGCGCTTATGTTGGCGTTTATGTCTTACTACTCATTATAACTCATGTCTCATATTATTATGTTACTATTTAGAA